GCGATTTTCTGAGTGCATTTGCGCTGTCCTGGTCTATTTTTGTATCAATCTGTTCCTACCGATAATCATAGATAATAAGGCAAACAATTTTTAATTAAGCTCAAATGACAAGGACGGCACCTGAACAGGCACTCTTCATTTATTTCTTGCTAATGTGAAGGCGTAACGCTTCTGCTGATATTTCGTAAAATCAGTTCCTTTACTTCAATGGTTCCGTGAGCCTGGGTTCCCTGTAACTTTAACAGGAGTTCCGCAAGTAATCACAATTTGCTTAATCAAAACGCAAAAATTTTAATAAAATCTTAGTTTTTTATAAAGAGATCGAATTCTTATGCTTGTAAAAATAAATATATAAGTAAATATTTAAAATAAAATGAAGTTTTCATTTTGTAAAAGTCACGTACTTCAAGCATGAATGGGTTAATCAGAAGGCTCGTCAATAAAGAAAAAAAATCAACTTATCAACACATTCGATGTTAAAGTCTAATTTTAAGTAGAAACAGCTCTTAAGGTACGGCAACTTACCTCAACTTTTTTTTTTTTAAATGGAGAGATGAGGATTTTTTGTGGGTTTTAGATTTATTTAGTACATTTTAAGAAAAAAATGCTAAAATTAAGAAAAAAAGAACTTATTATTACTAAAATGGGAAAAAATGGTTAAAAATTTGCAAAAAAAAATCATAAACGCGGCCCATTCTGTACCAAAAGTTTATAAACAAATTTCAATTTTTAATTCTGATGTGTAGCAATGTTATTAATTTTTTAAATGGCCTTCAGGATAAGAGATATTTTAGTTTTTACAAAAACTAAGCTCTTTAATCTTAGTTATTATATGAAATTCCTTAAAAAAGCAGTGATTATATTCACTTAAGGGACTGTAAATTTTGTAATAAAACAGTGATTGATAAATCTGAAGGTTAAAACACTTCTACTATTATACAGAACATACACAAAAAATTTCAGTTAATTATTTTCCAAATTTCTTTAGCAATCGCTGCCCTTGGATCATTTTTTTAAAAAAAAAACACATTTCGAGTAAAACGCGTTTTAATGTATGACATGCTTAAAGTAATGGCATCTGCTTTAGTTAAAACACGTGTAGTTTTTGTTCTAGTGAGCGGAAAATTATCAACTTGGTATTTTTATAAAGCCAATAAGATGGTCTACAAAATAAAATCATAAAAAATTGTCAATTTTTGGCAAAATTAACAATTTTAGGGTAGTCGGATACTTTATGTTTTAGGCTGCAAATTTTCACACAGAATATGCATTTTTAGAATATTCTCACGTAGTTATAAACATTTTAATGACCTTTTGAACAATGTATTTAAATAACCAATACCACTGCAGATGGCTTCAATAAAACAATATTTCGATAGTTTGCGCACACAAAAATGTATGCATATCGTTTTGTATATAAAAGTGTTTGAAAAATATGATACAACAGTAGATGGCACTTAGAGCAACAATTAATGAGTAAATTACTTTATTATTACGTTAAAAGTTTTTAATAAAAAAATAAAGCAATTTTTTAATTGTTTCAAGAACCTATAACATATTTATCTACTTGAAATATCATTTTAAGATATATTCATCTAAGAGGGGCAATTTTTTGGATGGGGTTTCTCTGAATCACCTTATAGTTTCAAAGATTCCGTGAGTCGACAAAGCTTGAAGACCACTACTCTACTTCTTCCATTGTTCATACATACTATAAGTAACAGCGAAGTTATTTTTTTTAAGCTCAAGTAGTTCTAAAAATAAATGAATTCATTCATTTTACAAGTGCTATTTTTCATTTCCTACTATTAGTTCACTCTCTCTCTCTCTTTATATATCTTGTTCAAATTTTCAATCTTTAATAAAATACTTTTTGTTTATCTACTCAAGTTCAAATACATTTTTTTTCATTTCTTACTATTAGCTCACTCACTCTCTCCTTATATATATATCTTGTTCAAATTTTCAATCGTTATTAAAATACTTTAAATTCATCTAATCAAGTTCAAATAATTTTTTTAAACTTGTAGTGGATGACACTTGATGTTAATATAGCTTTTTCAAATATTAATTCATTAACAATAGTTATATATAATTATAATTACCGGTATTCGACGCCAACTTAAATTCGTCTCCATTGTTGTAACATTGTAACTGTTAAAACAATGACAAAAGTTGGCGTCGAAAACCGGTTTTTCAGCCAAACTAGCCAAATCAGATGTGCATTGTTACATCAATGCAGACAAATCATGCTCTTTTTTCAATTCCTACAATTAGTTCACTCTCTCCCTATATATATTATATATATATATATATATATAGGGAAGACCGGGGCAAGATGACGAATGTCTTAATTTTTCCGTATTCCACTAGGTAGCAGCATCAAATGAACACTACTGGCTCTCCTTTCAGCCTTTCATTAAACAATAGTATAGACACGCTGAAATCACCCTTTTTGTGCTAGTTGTGAAGTGTTGATTGTTTTTTGATGCCCCGATATAACTTTTATGCATGTGTAAACAAGCTCTGCTACAGATACAGATAAGATATATCGCTTCTCTTTAATATTTATGAATAACTTGGTTTAAAAATACTACCTATTACCATGAATAATTGTGAATTAATTGCCTTCTTTCATGGTAATGAGAACGAATATTTTTAAACAGACAGTCTGGAGCAAGATGACGATCCGAACACGGGGCAAGATGACGAGCTCGTCATCTTGCCCCGTGTTTCGAAATTTATTAAACTAACTATTGTTGTCCATTCCATTAAACCCTGTGAACACTTGTTTGTCTATGTGTATGTCCGCGTGACCTTGCGCTTCCATCTCTTTTGGGGCTAAGGGGTGCATCGGATCGGGAAAGGTTTCATTTGAAAGGGGGTGACCAGAGGAAGACATTTTCGCCAACCGCTCAGCCCCCTCTTAAAGAGGAAGGAATGTAACAATAATTTGTTGCTTTAGAGCTACTGGCTTTATACCTGCCACCTTTTCTGATTTTTTGCGAGAAAACGAATGCTTCCTGAACTTGTAGAAAGAACCCCACCAGGAACTATAGGCAACTGTAGTGATAAGGGCTGGAACAATGAGGGCACCTTTTTCTTTCTTTTTTTTTTGAAGCACTTTTATATTCATGTGAAACTAAACAAAGAATCTCCTAATCTGTTGATTTTTGAAAATCACAAAACCCATATAACTTTGGAGGCTATCTTATATTGCAGAGCGAAAAACATCATCATGGTTGGGTTGCCGTCGCACGAATCACATCGTCTCCAGCCCCTTGTTGTGTCATTTTTCGACCAGTTAAAAACGCACTATAGCCAAGCATGTGACAACTTTATGGTCACTCATGCAGAACAAACTATCACAGACAAAAATATTGATGAGATTTTGAGCACCACTTACTTCAAATCAGCTACAGTTGGAAATGCCGTTGAAAGGGTTTAAAGAATATGGGATCGAGCCTCATAATCCTCTTGTGTTTAGCGAACATGACTATGCTGCGGTAAAAACTACTAACCTGCTGCTGTTGGCGATGAAACTGAGAATAATAGTGCTAATCCTCAGACCCCGGTAATAGAAAACCAACATATAAACCCTCCAGAAAAACCAGAACTTACGGCAAATGCTGATTTCGTTGCACCAAAGAAGCCTGTTAGTGTTTTTTTTATTTCAAACCATTGCCTAAAACAACATAATGTGAGAAAAACAGAAAAAGCAAAAAATTGAGCCCGAGCATTCTTACAAGCACACCCACCAAAGAAATGTTAGAACACACAAAGGGAAAAGCAGAAGGAAGAACAGGAAGTTTTAAAAAAAAACAGAGAAAAAAAGCTCGTGAAGCTAAAAAGGGAGTAAAAAAACTCAAACTGTTCCTGTAGGCCTAAGTCTATAAAATCCAGGCCAAACATTCCAGTTGTATCAACTTCAAAGGACGGTGTTATAAGATGTCCTGTTTGTGAAGAGGAACCCTCCAACAGAAGAATGGATCCAGTTCTGTAAATGCCAAGAGTGTTGGCATGAGGAATGTTCCAATGATAAAAAGGGCATTTTTATTTGTGACTATTGTTAGGTGCCCAAGTAAACACTTTTCAACATTACGTTAGAATGCATTACGCTTAGTTTGATACTTTGTAAGATGTAAAAACACAGTTATCATTTGTTAAACCATGACACACATTCAAAAGATAAATATGTTCAACCTTTTTCAGTGTCGTCATCTTGCCCTAAGGCAAAAGTCATCTTGTCCCAGTACTGGGGCAAGATGACGATTTGTTAAGGTTATGAAAAAATAAAATAATCCTTAACTTCTTTTATTGGAAAAATTAAATGGTAGTATATTTTAATACTACAAAGGACTACTCTAACAGTTCATGTAAAATTTTGATTTTACTTCCCTTAAAAATAAATTAATAAACAACAAAAAACTGTTAACGTCGTCATCTTGCCCCGGTCTCCCCTTTATATCAGGTCACGGTCTGCTGGTAAAATGAGGAGTGCATCATTTTTAAAACATCTTTATTGTTCTTCAGTCATATCAAATCCAACATGGCGGCGCTTTGACTACCAATCTAATGCAACAAAAGACAACATGGAAGCGAGCAGTCACCAAACAGTCTTTTTGCTGATGCTCTCTCTTACGTCAGAGCTCGCTTTTCCTTTAAATAGTCTTATTTACTCTCAAATCCCTACGCGTTAGTAAAGTGTTCGCTCTTTTTTATTTATTATTCACTTAATTTTGAAGACCAGATATATATATATATATATATATGTTGTTCAAATTTTCAATCGTTAATAAAATATTTTCTATTCATTCATTCAAAGTAGGAATTTACTTAAAATTTATATTTGATATTACTTGTTTAAACTTGTAGTAGATAACACGTGATGTTAATGCAGTTTTTTCTCAATTTATTCATCAATTTTTAATGAATAAATAATTCGTAACAAACCAAAATAATAGTCTAAAACCATATATAAAATGGAAAATCGTTCGTTTTGTCCTGTAGCGCAGTGGATAGTGCGTTGGATTTCTAATCCAAAGGTCATGGAATCAATTACCACATGGGATAGCCTAATTTCTGAGAATGTGATTTATTTTACTGTACTGGTTTATTGGAATAATGAAATTTAATTAATGAATAAATAGTAACAAACAAATATCATAGTCCAACACCTTATATAGAAAGGAAAATGGAAAATTGCAAGGAAATCACTTTTTATTTTGCCACTTAATATTGTGATTATTTCCTATGTATATACATATTTATATTAATTGTAATTATTTAATAAAAAGTAACTAAAATAAAGTTTTTCTTTGTTGATCTAAATAGGAATTGTCTTAATTTTTTTTATATTACTTGTTAGAAATAAAAAAAAACATAACAAATACTCTCTGGTTATTTGTATTCTTATACTCGTATGACTGTGAAATGTTAATAACAATATATTTTTTTTTATAAAATATAAATAAAACATAAAATGAGGGAGCATAAGTTGTGATAATATTTTCTGAGCGATTGATAACATAATACCTCACCTTGTAATTCTTTTCTTCTTTGAAATTGACGTCATATATAAGACTTTTTTTTAATATTGTCTAGACGGACTGAAACCGCTCGTGCAGTAAATCGACAGTTCCACCCACGCTTCAGATGTTTTTGCTTTTTCGTCATTATCCTTTCAGTCAATAGGAAGAAATGCACTAAAGATATTCTGCCGAGAATTATTTATAACATTTCCAAAAGACAAATTCATTGTTTCTTTATAAATTGAGGTACCCAGGCAAATTCAAGGTTTGGGAATTTTTTTTTATTATTATTCCTTAAATTTGTGTGGGGTTTTGTGTGTGTGTGTTTCAGATTTTTTCGTAAATTATATCAGAAAAAAAGTTAAATTATGAAAAAAAAAGCAGAATGAGAGGAATTTGGTTAAAATATATATAAAAAAATCACATAAACATTCTGAACAAAAAGTTTGTAAACGAATTTTCAATCTTTTAACATTCATACGTGCTGCATTGTTATTCATCTTTAAAAGACCTAAAATTATAAAAGAATATTTCAAATTTTACAAAAATTAAATTTTAATCACTACATGAAATCGTTTTTTTAAAAAAAGAAACGAACCTTACAGTAGTCGCATATGATGTGTAACATTTGACATGTTGTCGTGGTAAACACGCAATAGTGACTTTAATCCTGAAAAAAAAATGAATCGGGTATGAGTGGAAATAATTTTCTCTCGAATAATTATATAATTAAAGAAAATTTTATTTTTTGACACAAGGAGTAATGCAATTTTTTATCAAAAATAATTATTGTTGTTCAATTTGGGGAAGAGCGGAGACAATAGATTTATGAAAACTAAAATATGGCACATATACTTGTGATTTCAAAGTATTTAAAAATCGATGAAAAACAGCATCAATAACAATACCACTGTTAGTTGTAAGATTTCGATTTGTGTTCATTCCGAGCTTGCGTTCATCATTCAGAAAAGCTATGAGTGGCTCAGCTTCTGTCAAACTGAAGTTAACGTTAAAATCACCACTCAAAATCATGGGAAGCGAGTAATAGTTACCGAGTTTTTGCATTCCAATCTTCTGAAATGTTAAATTTAACAATATAAAAAAGCTGGCGGCTTGATTGCTACTAGAGTTGGACCCTGATGCGAGGGTAGCAAAGAGACACTATCAAGCGCACGTTTAAAAATTAGAAATATTAGAGAAAAACAAAAATGCCCATTTACTTAATTAGTTAGTTTCTTTTAATCGAGAAATTTTTTAATCACAATTGAAAATATTATATTGACAGCGACAGGAATTAAACTCAAAGTATGAAAAAGATACGCACGAAAATTATTTATTCAAATAATTCCAAATTACTTACTCGTATTTTTTTTAAGAATGATGAACTTCGTCACAGACGCTTTACAGTAAATATAATTATTAATATATAGTTTACACATATAAATATAACCTCAGATTTCACACACAATGAGCCCTGAGACTTTGACATTTGAGCGTACGAACCGCAAGTTTATTCTAAATGAAGTGTAATAAGTCTTTCTGGTATGTGCGGAAGGCTGGCGGCTTAATTGCTACTAGAGTTGGACCTCTCGATACGAGGGTAGCGAAGAGACACCACCAAGCGCGCTGATTGGTCAAATCAAATAGCGCGCGCTTCACCGACTTCCTGTTACATATTTCCGTCCCTTTCCACGAAATCACTCCAGCAATCGAGAGAAAAGATGTTACACATCAAAAACTTGATGTGTGTGTGAGTGTGAAAATTGTTCCAATATTAAACAAAAATACAGAATATTACACAAAACGTGCTTTAAACTCATTAACTGGATGCTAAAAGTTACATTTACTCTAACTAGAGCAGTTAAATTTTTTGTTAATTTTCCGTTTCGCCGGCGCAATCAATAATGTCACCAGAAATGATACAACTGACGCCAAATGGAATATTCCTGCTGGTAAACTTTTACCACCCCAATTAAAAGCAAGTCGTGGTCTTTTCTTATCAGTAACGTCCTTTTCATAATATCAGGTGTCCATAATTAAACTTGAAATTTGCGAGCAGTCTGTAACAAAAATTATGCAGTAGAAATTCATAAATGTTGGGTAATGGCACAATGAAATGATGGGAATTTATTAAGGGAAAAAACAATGAGTTTCAACTACCACCCCTAAATGGCGTTCTGCAATATAAACTATTGGCATATACAAATGTCGTAACCATAGTAGTCCTATGCGCGAGCAGCAAATCGTGGGATATAAAGATGCGAGAGGCGAACCGCAGTCATACTCGTTTCCAAGTCAAGGAAGATGACGTTGACTCTCTGGGAACGTGCTTTACTGGTGAAATTGTGTTACCAAAACGGAGACTCTACAACCGAAGATTTTCGGAAATTTCAGTCTTTGAAGTGGTTACGAAGGTTCACTCAGTAGTCAAACATGAAAATGAAATTTGAAGGAACGGGAACATTGGGGATTCAGCCAGGAAGGGGACGGAAGTGTGTTGCAGCACAGGCAGTGGATGATGTATGACGCAAGTGGGGGAACACACACACACACACATAGATCACAGACCATCGGCAGCACTAGTGTTTCGGGTACGGCAGCATATCTGTTGACCAATCTCGTTCCATGGTTCATAAGATTCTTCGAAAGGTCTTACGCTATTATCCCCATAAACTGTCGCTGTACAGCAATTCTTACCAGATGATTCAGATAGTCGGCAAACTTTTGCGTTGCGTTTACTTGCGCAAGTTGAGCTCCAGGATATATGTCCATGGGGAACATTTTGAGGACCACTTTCATATGGAAGGTGTAGTTAATACGCATAAGTGCCATATTTGGTCTGGTACTAACCCGTATCAATTTCTACAACTTCCATTACATTCTTTGAATGTAACGGTTTAGTGCGGCTTTGCTGCAACCTTCATTGTAGGTTTGGGTTTTTTTTCTCAAAAAGCACAGTGTTGCATGGTCTGTGACATGCACCGTCTCCGGTGAACGATACGCTTCATTGTTAGAGCAATCCGTTATTCCGGCTCTACAGTGATACACTCTGTGTATGCGGGATGGTTCTTCTCTACATAACACCCGTTGTGTGAAATAAGTGCTCCGCCGCCATTTCGGTGACGCAGAATTATCAGCCGGCATTTTCCTACAACTTGGCCTCCTTGATCCCCCGACTTCAATCAATGCAACTTTTGACTGTGGAGATACCTTAAGGCTATGGTCAATCTTGATCCGATCACATCTCTATCGACATTAAAAAAAGCATAGAACTCCATATGTGATATGTGTAGCATTCCCAAGTTCATGCTGATTTCAACAGTTGAATATGAGATTTTAAGTTTCCAGATGGTAGAAGACAATGGTGGACAGCATATCGAGCATGTTTTGTAAACTTTTGTAGATTATATATATATGTTTTAATAAAGCTATGATACACGCCACCTTGTGGTGGATTTTGAAACTCATTTCCCCCCCCTCCATGAAATCCTTATCATTTCATTCTGCCTTACCCAATTTTCATACAGTTTTTACTACAGCCTGCTCTCAAATTTCAAGTTTAATTATGGATACCCGATACATCAAAAATAGATGAAAAACTATAGAATTAATATTTAAAATTTTTCTGTGTTTATTGCGTGTTGTCACCAATAAAGCCTACTTGGCGAGATTTGCGCCGGCGAAACGAAAAAATATTTATTTCTTGTTCTAGTAAATAGAAAATAAAACACTCGGTGTGTGTTTTAATAACCCGAATACATTAGCCAACAAAGGTAAACCATAGAATAATATTGTCATTTTTTGACGCAATCTGCGACTTAATGTTTGTCGTATACCTTTGTTCGCAAATGAAAAATCAAATTAAGACAAGATTTTGTATTTGAAACAGATTATTAAAAAGGCACATGTGTTTTTACATTTGATCAAACATTGCTGAATTAAAATGATAATACCAATATCCATTAAAAAAATTTACATATTAGAGAAGATATTAACCGAACATTTTTTGTCTTTTAGTATACTGTCTTATATATACATCGCTAATACAATATTTTAAGATGAGTTATAAAAGAGTTGAACTTTTTTTTTACATTAATTACTTTAAAGGCGTTGCCATGGCAACACTGCTGTTAAAACGGAAAGTGGCCACGTGACTAAAAATGTTAAACGTTTGCTAATCGATTTTGAATCGACATTTTCAATCGTAATCAATTCACAAAATAATATAAAACAATTCTATAAAGAAATCCCAAATTTTAACAGGACATGGAAATTTTAAGAGCTATTTATCTAGGTTTAATTTAATTGGTACTGATATTTGTTCTTGTGGTCTGGATGCTGAAACCGTGGAACATACCTTGTTGTATTGTAACCTATATATTTTTGTAAAAGATAAAATTTTAAAAAGCAGTTGAAACGCTTAGATATTTCCTGGCCACCTGTTTTGTCTTTTTTGGTCAACTGTACTGAAAGCTTAATGCTTAAGAAAATTTGTTTACTGTATAGATTTTTAAAGTTTTATAGGTACCTCCCTTTCTTTATA